ATTATGAAAGGTATCTCTAGCAATGCTTTCTTTTAAAACAGCTTTATTGGCATATAATTCACATACTATAAAATTCACACTTTTAACGTGTACAATTCAATGGGTTTTAGTATACTTAGAGTGTATGCAGCCATCACCATTATCTAATTTCAGAACATTTTCATCACCCCAAAATGAAACCCTGTACCCTTTCACAGTTACCCCCTATTCTACCTTCCCTCCAGCCCCTGGCAACCACTAATCTACTTTCTGTCTCTATGGATTTGCCTATTCTGGACATTTCACATAAATAGAATCATATACCATGTGGCTTTTTGGGCTGCCTTATTTACTTAGCATAACGTTTTCAAGGTCCATCTATGTATCAGTACTTCATTCTTTTTTTGTGGCCAAATTATATTCCATTGTATGGATATACTACATCTTGTTTACACATTCCTCAGTTGATGGACATTTGGGTAGTTTCTACTTTTTGGCTACTATGAATAATGGGCTATGAACGTCCATGTGCAACTTTTTGTATGGTCTAGCAATGCTTTTTGCCTTAAAATATGTTTTGTGTGATATTAATATTACATTTGAAAATTTGTCAAAATAATTTCAGGCTTAGGGTAATATTCTCTTTTTTCCAAAGAGTATTTTCATTTGACTCTGTCAGGTGCCTGAGAGCATTAGCCATTAAGGATTGCTTTTATACAACTTCAAAGATACGGCTGATTTGGAGCTGTGCTTCAGACCCTGCTAGGGCAGGTTTATATCCTAGTCACCCTTACTGATACCAGCTCAACACAAGGTTGACATAAGGGAAGCCATATTGTGGAAAAGAAACCCTATTGTAACTTTGCATGACCTCTGATTAACTAACCCAGACATGCTCTGTAGATTTTATGGCCCCTCCCAGCTGCTACAAGTTGATAACTTTTTTCTTTTGAGTTCCTTAGGAATGTGATGACCCCCGGGCAGAGAGTCTATGCTGACGGCTATCATCAATGAAAACTGAAAGATCGGGGCATAGGGCATTGCTCCAGTCTCTGATGCATATCTAGTAAAACAAAAGACTATCAGGAAATAAGACCAGATGTCTGCTCCCACCTGGAGATCAGATGGATGCCCCCACCTGGAGACCAGCCCCTACATAACTGGCCCATCGTCTTTGTTCTGAAAGGTGGTTCTTTTGGACATTAGTCGGCCATCTTCCCCCTTGCTAGCAAGCTGTAATAAAATCCTTTCTCTCCTACCTTCTTGCCTCTTGACTATTGGCATGCCTTGCGGTGGGCAGATGACCCCCCCGGGTGGTAACATGACCTTTAGGGTGCAGTGGTTGCTGGTGATCAATGCAAAATATAGGAGTTCTATCACTTCCTCACTCTTGGCAGGCCCTGGACTCCAACTTGCATAACCCTAGCCCCACAACAGTGTCAAAGACAAGTGCCTTGCTTCCCAGCCTTACAGTTTCTAGAACTGGCGAGTGCTCCTCAGGGTAAAAGTGGCTCCAAGTAACTAGCCCTCCTTTCGATTTCCCTATTCTTCTGCATTTTGGACTGCTAATTTATTCTCCACACATTGCTTTCTTGTTGATAGACTTCATGTGTGTGTATGTATGTGTATGTTATGTGTGTGTGTGTGTGGATGTGTGTGTGTCTGTGTCTAGTTCATGGGAATTACCTATTTTGCTGTTACCCAAAGCCTCCATTGCATTTCTTAATTTTTATTTATTTATTTATTTATTTAAATTTTTTGTTTATTGCAGTAACATTGGTTTATAACATTGTAAAAATTTCAGGTGTACATCATTGTACTTCTATTTCTGCATGGACTACATCATGTTCACCACCAAAATACTAATTACAACCCATCACCACACACATGTACCGAATTATCCCTTTCACCCTCCTCCCTCCCCCCTTCCCCTCTGGTAACCACCAATCCAATCTCTGTCCCTAAGTGTTTGTTTATTGTTGTTATTATCTACTACTTAATGAAGGAAATCATACGGTATTTGACCTTCTCCCTCTGACTTATTTCACTTTGCATTATACCCTCAATGTCCATCCATGTTGTCACAAATGCCTGGATTTCATCATTTCTTATGGCTGAGTAGTATTCCATTGTGTATATATACCACATCTTCTTTATCCATTCGTCCCTTGATGGGCACTTAGGTTGCTTCCAAGTCTTGGCTATTGTGAATAACGCTGCAATGAACACAGGGGTGCATGTACCTTTGCAAATTGGTGTGTATTTCTTAATTTGGCAGTCATTTTTATCTGAAAATTATCTTTCCTATTATCAGATTAATCCTGTTTAATATATGAAACTACAAAACAATTATTACCAAAAGTTTTTACTTTCGGGAAGAATCCTTTGATCTGATTCCTTAAAATACTTTTTTTTTCTTGATCACCACTGCTTTTCACATATTCCTGGTTTTCTTTCCCTATTCAGAGGTGCTTTGTCCAGGATTTGAATTGGCTTCAGTTGGTCTTTGTTCAGATATTTCCAGTGCCACCTATGAAGGGGTCTTTTTGTCAAGAGTTGAACTTAAATCTAATCAGGACTTTAGATTTAAATATTACTTTACAGGAAATGTTACTGCACAAAGGGCACGATCTGCTCACCGTGAGACAAAAGCCAAGAGGCAAGATGGTGGAAAAGAAAGGGCAGTTTATTATAGCTTGCTAGTAAGGGGGAAGATGGCTGACTAATGTCTCAAAGAACCATCTTAAGGGGGCACAAAATCTTACAGCAGTTATATAGGCCATTGGGTTATAGGGGAGGGGGTTGGGAATGTTGACCCTCTGGTGTTACAGACTGGGAGTGCCACACGAGACCTTTCAGTTTTCCTTGATGATGGCTATCAGCATAGACTCTCTGTTCAGTGGTCTTCACATTCCTAAGGAACTCAAAAAACAAAGTTATCATCTTATCACAGCTGGGAGGTACATGCACAAGTGGGGGTCGTAAAATCTACAGAGCAGTTAGATCTCCTGGAGGGTGCAGACCCAGCTGGGTTAGTTGGTCAGAGGTCATTCAAAGTTACAATAGGGCTTCTTTTCTACCATATGGCTTCCCTTATGTCAACCTTGTCAGAAACACATAGGATAGAAGAAGAAATTATTTAATGACAAAAAATAAACAATGGGAGAAATCCAGAATGTGGGACAGCATGACAACTGACCTGATTCCTCAATAGGTCAGAGGTCTGAAAAATGGAATGAAAGGATAGAATTCAAGAATAAATGCACCTGAGTAGATAAACAAATAAAATGAATAGACTCTGTGGACATTCGTTTGAACAAACCAGTTATGAGAGATTTTTGAGGAAAATCTGAATAGGCATTGGGTATTACAAAATATTTAGGAATCATTGATGATTATTTTTTCGGTGTGATAATGGTATTGTGCTTTTGAAAGAAATATTTAGCAAAGTATTTAGTGGTGAAAAGACATGATGTCAGAGATTTGTTTTAAAAGTTTTCTGTAACTAAAAAAAGTAGTGATAGATGAATTAAATGGTTAAAACTGTTAAATTGAATTTCAGACATGAGTACATGGGGTTCATTTTACTATTCTCTCTACTTCTGTCTATGTTTGAAAACTTTCATGATAAAAAGCTACAAAATATATTCCCTGCCTAGGAGAAAAATCATGATTTCCTCATTTCACTTGGCTTATTTAATCACAACACACTTTATTTTACTTATGTAAGGAGCAGAATAGAAATATTTCATGAAATGTCTGAAGCCGAACCCGAATTAGAAAACAATTCAGGATTTTATACGTGCACACATCACAATATTTTCTTAAATTTCCAGCAATGGAGCTGCTTTCATTTGCCTTAACAACTAATATATATATAAATATTTTAAATGAAGTTCAAGATATTTCTCTTTTATAGCCTAATCAATGTTTGCATCGCTTTTTTGGTAAATTCTTAGCATATTAGAATGAATAGCTCATTCCACAAAAACTTGTCAAGGGCACCTAGGTGCCTTGTGGAATAAAGGAGGCAGAGGAGGCAAATACTTGATTCCGTTCCCTCCCATCCCCCCAGGACACGCGGCTTGGACAACTTGGACACTGAAGACTGAAACTTCCTATCTACCTACCTCTCCTCCCACAATTTACTGTCTATATTAACATAACTACTCAGTTGTCGTTAGCATGCTTTTACTATTCCGGGAGATTCCTGCCCAAACAAATTGCTTGATTGTTCTTTATAGGAACTTCCACAAATACCCATCAATTCTTCAGTCTCAAGAGAATGCACCAACAGTTTACACCTAAAGATTCCTCTCCTACAGAAATCCTTGCTGTTCCCACCAATCCTGGACTGTAGCATCATGACCCTTAGCAATTCTAATCAAATCTCTCGCATAGAAAGACCCGCCTTAAACCAAGCTTCCAGTTCTCAATGAATCCCAACCTTGCCTTCCTGGCTCTGACAGTTTGCTGTCAAGGTGCCAGCGCTCTGGTGTTCTCTCTTCCCGCGATAAGCAATAAACTCCGTTTTTATCTTATTAACAGGTTTTATGGGTGATATTTGGGGAGCTGGCATTCGAAACAAGTATGCGAGTCAGCGTGCCTTAAGTTCTGTGTTAGGAAGCTCAGCCTAAGCCACTTGTACATTTCCCATTTTTAGCCTACCCATTGCTTACCCTAAAAAATTTGGCTTTTAACTTATTTCTATAGTGCAAGCTTCGCTTTTCTATCTTATATGGCCTCGTTTTTTAAAATTCCCAATTATCTTCTCACGAGTTTTAAAAAATGAATAAAAGATAAAGGACTCGGACAGTTTCAGCGCCAGAAAAGGGACTCAAACCGAACCCGCTTTTGTCAAAACAAAAGCCAGCTGGTGGTAAGCGAGGTCCTGCGAGCTTCATTCTGGGAAATGTAGTCCAAAAGCTGTGTGACATCTGAGGCGCTTCCGCTTGAGGATTCTGGGAACTGTAGTCCAAGAACTGTGTATAGAAGGCGGCGCTTCCGCTCCCGGAAGACGAGGTCGGGGCGAGTGCTGCGAGTGAGGTGAGTGAACCCCGCGTCCCGGCGATCCCTCCGAGCCGTCTCGTGGGGCCGGCAGCGACCCGGTCCTGGCTCCCGGGAAGGGGAAGCCGCGGCCGGCGGCGGCGGGCGGGATGCAGGCAGCGGTGGCGGTTCGGGGCGGGCTGGGGTCGTGCTCCGAGTTAGCGGGGCTCCCGCGCTCCGCTCCCGGAGCTGCCAGCCAGCTCTGCCTCTTCCTCCCGGTAAAATAGTGGGCAAGTTACTTGCTCTCTCCTCGCCTCTGTTTCCTGATGGCTAAAAAGGATTATTTCCTTCCCAGTGGTGTTCTTGTGAGAATTAACTGAGATTACTTATGGAAAGCTTAAAAACAGTGCTTCGTGCCTAGTAAAGTGTTGGATGTTTCCATAATTCTATGGTAGTATTCAGAGAGGCGCCCTGTTGTTGGGGAGCTCCTGCGAGCCCGGGATGGGGTCGGAGGTCCAGCTGCAGGGCCACTGTCCTGAAGGGGGGCAGAATTTGTCACCCCAAATATGCCAGTTTGGCAGGAGGATTATTTTGAGCTAAAGGCAATCAAAACCCAGCGGATTCAGGAAAAGCTCTTTTCCTGCCCCCTCAACTGGCTAAATTTCCATGGGAAAGGTGGCCTGTACCAGGAAGAGAGCTGTTACCTTTTGACCTAAGAAATTTATCTGCGTAACAGGGCAGCCTTTGTTTTCTAAACATCTCCTCTGTCTTCCTGTGAATGGCCTTCCTCCCCTTTGTATCCCAGACCCCCACCCATTTCCGTAGTTCAGGATATATAAAGCTCAATTACCTGGCTGTCCTTTGAGTCTTCATATCTTTATGAGGCTCCTGTGTGGTAGTTAAATTTGCTTTTCTACTGTTGATCTGTCATATATCAATTTAATTGTTAGACCAGCAAAACAACCTAGAAGGGAAGAAGGGAGAATTTTTTTGCACCCCTGCAGTCCCTTCACTGATCACTGACCGATGTGGGCTGTTCCTGGATTCCTGCACTCTTTCTAGACTCTTGTTTAGGAAGGAGAGTTATCTTCAGCAGGATCCTGGGGAATGTTCTCTGTGGTTTATCCAGATAGAGAACAATCGTGATCACGGCTTTGCAGAGTGGCTGATGTGAGTCCATAATAAGTGTCCAATATCGTGTAATAACCGTGTGCTGTTGATCTAAATGCAACATCAGTTCTTAGAGGGGTTTTCATTGGTTGTGATTTACTGCCAGGCATTTTGGCCCCATTAAGTTATACTGCCTGCCTGCCTCTCATTTCCTGTGATACCCAGTCTCAGGAGTAGTCTGGGAGCTACAAGAAGCTCTTGGGTTAGGGCTGTTGTGCGGATTGTTCATGAACACAGGCAGCTGGCTGAGGGGGCCCAGGGGAAGCTGGAATCAGCGCCTGTTCTCAATAAACTATGTTGCCACTGCCTCTGCCTAGAGAAGGCGGCATCTTCTGTTGCCATGGAGTGCCACGTGGACCAGCAGCATCCCTAGCATCTCTCATGATGGCCTTCCCTTCCCCAGTTTTGCCTTCCCAGATCTCTGCCTTTCCCCGGAAGGAAGAGGAAAAGAATGACCAAGTTCCAGGTAAGTTGGGTTTGCTTTTCTGTTTCTTTAAAAAGACATCTCATTTCTTAAAGATTTGACACGTTTTCTCCTGCCTGGGAACGGTAAAAGGGAACCAAAAGCACTTAAGGAATTGCTATACGCCAGGCTCTTGTTTTTTGTTTATTTTCAAATAATCGTTTGAAAATTAAACGATATTTTTAAAAAATGAAGAACAACTCGCACATTATAAACATGTTTACAAATCAGCTATTGTCATTTTCCTAAATTCCTTTTCATTTGCATTTATAATGCATATATTTGTAATCATAGTTCAAGTACCATTTTGGGTTTTTAAAGTTTAATTTTGTATCACCTACAACTTCAATGGCCACATCATTTTCCATAGTTTACCTCATATTTTTCCCCATTCTCCTTATTTTTGTGGTTTATGAATTTTACCATTTTTAAGATGTTTGCAATGCCACATCATTTTCCATAGTTTACCTCATATTTTTCCCCATTCTCCTTATTTTTGTGGTTTATGAATTTTACCATTTTTAAGATGTTTGCAATGACAGTTTTCCTACATATAACCTTTCTTCCCAGACAGGAACCTGAGAACTCGACCATTTGTTTCTTCCTTAAAGTTTTGGGGACTCAATTGTTTTCTTACATGTGGTGCCCCACATTTTGTGAAAAGATTGTCTAAATTATGGCTTGCTGCAATGGAATCCAACTGATACTGAACTCGGAGAAAATAATTTTAGTTGTTTTCAAACAAGAAGAGCTAGATTCTTTTCTAAGTTAAACCATGTATGTATTATAGTTAAGTATCTGTTTTATTCCTTGACACTTTAGTATATTTTAAAGAAGTACATACTTAGTTTTAAAAGTCTTTAGCTCTGGGACTTGCCAGGCATTTACTCCATAGAGCAGCTGTGTGAGGATATCGGTGGTCTTATCTGCATTTTAACGTGAAGAAGCAGGTTTCTGAAGCTTCAGATACCTACTGAGATCCACTCAGAGTCCAGCTGACACTCAGGTTCCCAGTGCCTAAGCCAGGAGTTTCAGGTGTGCAATTAGGGTAAATGGAGAGATCCAGAAGAAAAGCGACTTCTCCATTCGGGGCCCTGAGGCCACGTTGAGAGTGTACCTGGCATGTCTGCTGGATGGAGGACTCCAGAAATAACACTGCCCCTCACCTAGTTCCTTTTCTTTTTTTTTGTTTTTAGGAAGATCAGCCCTGAGCTAACATCCATGCCAATCCTCCTCTTTTTTTTTTTTGC